TATCCAAGGCCTAAAAAAGATAAAATTAAAAATAAAAATAATACATTTAATTTTACTAATATAATTAAATTTTACCAAAATAAGTGTATTTTTATGTTTTTTAATTTTTAAATTAGTTTCGATGTCTTCAATGTTTTCATATTCATCGTCATCTTCATATTCATATTCATCAGAAGTAATTGAATTAATCATTAAAGTAGAGGTTGAAGTAGATGTTATGTTGTCAATTGATGGTGTTATACGAATTATTTCCCATAAAGTTTTTTCAGCTTCTATAATAAGTGGGTAGCTTGAATTTCGTTGAACCTAAATAAAAAATAGTTAGATATTTTTAATATATATATATAAAAAAAAAAAAAAAACCTTTTTAAAAAAAGATGCATTCATCATTCCAAGAGGGCTTACAAGATGCTTGCATAAAAAAAACTATTGGTTAAAAAGTAAAAACAAGAGCATACCCAATGCTCATAGTTAGTTAAATATTTGTTAGAATTTTTAATTATATGAGCACTAAGTTTTTGCTATTCTATTTTAAAATCTTTACGCCATAAAGGTAAGATCTGCCTATTTAAAAGTAATTGAAATCGTTGCATTTGCATAGGTATCACTTTTCAATAAGTATAAAACAAACAAAATCAACTCGTAGTCGATTAAATTTATATAGATAATCTTTTTTTAATATTCTCCAATGGGACTCTACTATCATAGTAGTCTGTATTACTGAAATTTCAGATGAAGTTGATAATGCTCAAATCTTCCATCTATCCCACCGATACCATTCTGACCAGAGATAAGACTATACGTGAAGTAAATTTTTTCTGTGACAATAATTAAATATCTTACTGATTATATAAGTCCATATTTCTTGTGAAGTAATAAATTCTTTATTAGCTGTAGGTATAAGTATATGATGGTGAAAGTGAATTTTAATATATTTAAGTATTTCTTCTCTTAAAGATTTTTCAAGAAATACTTTACTATGCGAATTTGTTTGATGTACTGAATTGCAATTCCATGCTGGGTCTACGTATAATTGAATATTCATTATATGCAGCAACTGCATCATACCTAATATTTTTGTTTTTTGTATAAGATGCAAGTTTTTGCTCAATTGCATGTTTAATATGCCACTCACAAAGTTGTATATTTATATTTTGCCAAATGGATTGTGTGCTAGAAATTTGGGAAAAATCTTTATCTAAAAGTAATGTTTCAACATTACTAATTCCTAAATCATGAATTGCTTTAAACCATTTCGTAATAATCATTCTTATATTACGATTTTTTCCATATGCAATATATAAATAACTGATCAGAAATCCTGTTCTATCAACACTAGCCATAATTGTATAAAGCTTGTATTTGAGCTTGTTGGTGTTACATATAAGTTGCATTGACAAGTATTGTTTTAAATACTATTTTTGGTAATATGTTAATAAAAGAAGTAACAAAAGCATATGGGGGTATTCACAGCAAAACCAGGCTTCAGGACAATCATGTGATTTTGAGAAAATCAATATCAAAATTAGTATATGATTATCACTTGTATAATATGTTGTACCAAAGAAACTAAATTTACATATTTTTTTATTAATATATTCGATGATTAAAATTGTTTTTATAAAACTAATTATGGGATAGATAGTCATGATATAAAATTTTGAATTTTGATTGGTTGGCCTGAAGCCTAGTTTTGCTATAGCTCTCCCCATATGCAACTACCGGATTGTCAAACTCTAAAATAATTTCATAATTTTTTTCTCTTAAAAATAATTTTGCTAATTCAATTTGATTATCCACACATTTATATTTTGTAATAATATACTGGGTCCACCAGTAATAAACTTGTTTAACTGTTAATAATTCATAACCATCCATTTTTTCCTTAGTAATCTGCCTATACAATTCAGATGCAAAAAATGATAAATTCGCTTGAATATATTTTTTAACTTCATTTGAAACACTGATTTGCTGTGGTCATGGATGTAGGTATAAATGTTTTAATATTGTTATAGCTAATTTAGTTTGTAAATTAATTTTAATAGAAATTGTACCTTTGCAATTATAACAATCTAATCGAGATTCAGTATTACGTTGCTTGGATTTTTCTACAGTCTTTTTCATCTTTTTTTCTAATTCAATACTGCAGTTACACCAATAAGTAAATGAAGTGATCTTGGTTTGTTGATTATAAGTTTTCTTATGATAAATGTAAGAATATCCATCGGCCTTCTCAAAAAGCTTTACAATTTCAAATGCTAATACACTAGTGTTCTCATTTATCATACTAAAAAAATTTATAACCATTTCTAAATTTACTTGTCCACCTTCTTCAACATCCATAGATTCTTGATAAACAATATCTTCAACTTCCTCTGGCTCAATAGCCTTCTCCTGCATATCATAAATATCATCCACATATTGTTCTTCACGCTTTCTTTTATATCCTTCATTTAACCGATTTAAGCATAGTAAACAAGATTTTTTATTAGTTTCAAATAAATCAGTGGATTTGTTAAAATAACATGAAGAACAATACTTCAAAATAGGCTGCAAAAATAATTAGATTTCTTTTTTTTTTTTTTAGTGTAAAAAAATAGAACAAAAAAAAAAATTTTTTTTCAAAAAATTTTTATGTATTATTAATCAATATAATTGATAATAAATATTTTTATTAATAATCAAAAATAGGTCAGCAAAAAATTTAAACTCAGTTCATAAATGATCTTGGTGGTTATGCTAGGTTTGTCACGAGGTAGCCAGGGTGGCCCCCAAAAGTGTCAGTGACATAAGATCAATTAGTGCAACTTATTGGTCCTTTTCTAGACGTATATTGTAGATCATATTTTTTTTAGATAGCAATTGTTCGTAATTGAATATTGCAATATATATATATATAGTGTCTGTGCTATAATTACATTACTGGCATTTTGGGAGAGCCGCTCTGGCTGCCTCTATACTCACAAAAAATTGTTCATCCCCAGTAATTTTGACCAATCAAAATTTAAGATCAGGTATCAAAACAAACGTGTTTTGTTTTCTAAGTAAAAAAGTTATGTGCAAAATAAAAATCAAGAAAACTATATTATAGTTAGGGTTAGGATTAGAACAATATAATGCTTATCAGTAAAATAATTAGGCCGCAGAAGGTGGTTTTCTAATTAAAATTTAGAGTTATTATTTTTTTGTAAAAAAATGATTTCGTTTCAATTTTTATATTACACCTGATCCTAAAATTCGGTTGGTCAAAAATTACAGGAAGTGAACAATTTTTTGTAGGCATCATACAGATGTATATATGTATATTGTAATAGTACTCTAGCTATGAAAAAAAATATTTTCTGGCATGCACTTATTTGTACAAGTGATACAAATTCAAAAAGGGAAATTAGCTAATCAGAAACATAAAATGTGATTATACCAGATTAGCCCAACATGTAAGCGAAGCTAAGAAAAACATGAAAAAAATAAAAAAAGCAAAAATACAAGAAACTAAGTATTTAAACCTGTCTTGGGTTATTAATTAAAAGTGCTGGAAATGAAATTTTATATATAGAAAATAAATATTTTATTTCTACATCATCTAACTTTAATATTCTAACCCTAAATTTTTATTTTCACAAACTTAGTTTATTTTTACATTGAATTTCTTTTTTGGGCTTGTATTACTCACACAAATATCATAATTTGTAGCAAATAGTACTCTCTTGTTAGTGTACCCCCACAATTTGTATCTGGGTTTAATCAAGTATGTGTTGTAAACATGATTATAAAAGACCTGGGTATATCTAAAACACAATTTATATGGTACATGATATCTTTTATATTTTTTTTTATAATTCTATTAAGTGATCGGTTAGCCTAATTGCATTTAAAGTATCTTCCGTATATAAACTTCCCACGTAAAATACCCTCTACCTGACAAAGTACCTACCAGGTACTAATCAAGATTTTGTTTCTAGGAATATAAGAGACCCGAGTACTATTTGCCGCAAATTACGGTAAGTATTTCCTATTTTCTGCTACATCAATACCAAAATTTTCATATATATATGATATATATAAAATTCTTTAAAGTTTATTTATATAAGATTAGGGTTAGTATAAGAATTAAAATTTAGTAGTAAGTATAGTAAAATTGCTTAAAAAAATTTTTTTGTTAGAGTGCAAAAGGTAGTTTATTATATTAATTTTCAGAAAACATATAATTTTTTCTGATTTTAAATTTTTTTATTGTGTTATATTATATCAAATTATA